AAGAGGCAGGATATTCATTAAACGTACATTTTCTTCTAGGGTGGAGGAAAAAGAAAACTGTCAAAACTCAAGCTAAATTCTACCACTTATTGGTTGTATATCATTATATATATTTTATTTATTATTTTTATGTGTATGCGTGTACTTCCTGTACATATGTCAGTTCACCCATGTCGTGCAATGCCTGGAGATGTCAGAAGAGGGCATCAGATCCCCTGGAACTTGCGTTACAGACAGTTGTTGGCCGCCATTAGGTGCTGGGAACTAAACCTGGGTCCTTTGTGAGAGCAGCCAGTGCTCTTGACTGCTGAGCCATTTCTCCAGCCCTTTGGTGAATTTTTCCACCTTTTTCTGTTAAGATGTGAAATGTGTAACAACAGGGCCACAGCAGAGAGCTGCTATGAAAATATGCTAATGATATGCTAAGTGCAGTTTTGGGTACACTGACAGCTCAGTCAGTATTAGCTATTGCTTTCCAAATCACATTTGAGGAGTTTAGTTACAAAGCAAACTGGTATCTAGCCTGTTATGCACATTTGAGAACTAAGTTCCAATTGTAACTATGGGCCTGTTAAGAGAAGAATTCAAAAATATTTCCTGAATAAATAATACATACATATATAACCCTAATATTTTTAGTTGGCAAATTATGAATTACAAATCATGTGTGGTGGTTTGAAAGAGAAATGCCCCCATAGGTTCATGTACACTTGGTCCCCAATTGGTGGCGTTGTTTGGTGAGGTTATAGAACCTTTAGGAGGCAGAACCTTGCTGGAGGAAGCACATCACTGAGGATGGACTTTGAGGAAATATATCCTTGATCCACTTCCTGCTCTCTAGCGTTGCTTCCTGTGTGTGGATAAAAATGTGATTGGGCAGCTTCCTGCTCCTGCTGGCATGCCACACCCTCCCCATCACTGTGGACTCTGGCCCTCAGGAATCATAAGCGAAAATAAACTCTTTCTTAACTTGCTTTTGATCATGGTATTTTATCACGGCAACAAAAAAAGCAACTAATACAGCATATATACTTGGCATCCTTAAATGTGCTAAAATAAAATGTGCAGAATTCTCAAAAATATTTCTCCTCTAAGCAAATACATACAGTCTTGCTTCATCCCAAATGCAATACATCGCTGCAATCTGCAATACTGACAACGGTTTCGGTGGTGCTTATTAATAACACAGTCTTTTGATCCTCGACATGAATACACTAAATTTTTTCGGATGCTTCTTTTAAAAAATCCTTTGCAGCCTTCACAAGTTATTGCTCCATAATGACGCCCTAGAGAGAAAAATGTTTAAGAAAATACAAGACATACTATATAGATCAGAAATTACATAAATTACTTTTTCCTTTTAAACAATATGTGAAATGAAACTGATTTTTCAATTCTGACAATAAAAATTTATAGGAATTATTAAATAGAGAATGAAACAGCCATATTCTGTGATAAGTTTAATGATAGTTTTAAATATTGTAAAGTAACACTAAGAATGGTAAAGAAAACTTAGAACTAAGACAAAATCATCCAAAATTCTATTACACACATAAAAAATTTTAATTTTGAGACAACTTATATAGTTTTGTCATATATTGTATCAAAGTTTTTTTTTTTTCCTGCAGTATTGGAGATTGAAAACAGCACCTTACTCACCCTAGGCATCTACCTAGGCATCCTCATCTACAATAATCTAAAAACTATACTCCAGAAAAAGAAAAAAAAGATGTTATCTAGTACTGGAAATATAATAATCTTTCTTTATGAGCTCATTTTTTAAAACTCTTTATTAGGGGCTGGAGAGATGGCTCAGCAATTAAGAACACTGGTTGTTCTTGCAGAAGAATCAGGTTCGAATCCCAGCACCCACATTGCAGTTAACAACTGTCTGTAACTCCAGTCCCAGGGGATCGGACAGCCTCTTCTGACCTCCTTGGGCATTGCATGACACGGGTGCACTTACCTACATGCAGGCAATACACGCATACACAGAAAATAAAAATAAAAAATAAAAAATTTTAAAATGTTAAAAAAAACCTCTTTATTAAAGATATTACATCTTGAGTAACTTATTATTCCACCAACTACTTCTTTTGCAGAACATTAACAAATTATATTATACACTGTAGGGAAAACTCTGATGGAGTTTTTTTTTTTTTTACGAAATTTGGAAAAAAGTTAACAAAAACAAGCTGGGCCCTTGAACTCTGTCCCACTGACGCTTGTGATATGCATATGTAGACAGGAACACATATTACATGAAGTAAATGACAGTCAGAACTAAAATGTCTGATCTCTAAGCTCTCCCAATAGGCTTTGAGAGAGTATCTCCCTCAGGTCTACAGCCTTACTGTGCTGATCAGATCCTATGGATCTCAAGCTAAAAAGGGCCAGGTCTAGTTAGATCTTGGATGGGAGAATACCTAGGTAAGTTATGCCTAACTCCAAGTAAGTGTTAAACAAAGCATTTTCTTTTTCTTCTTTTTTTAAAAATTTTATTATTTTCTGTGTTTGCATGTATTGCCTGCATGTAGGTAAGTGCATCTGTGTCACGCAATGCCCATGGAGGTCAGAAGAGGCTGTTGGATCCCCTGGGACTGGAGTTACGGACAGTTGTTAGCTGCAATGTGGGTGCTGGGATTCGAACCCAGGTCTTCTTCAAGAACAACCAATGTTCTTAATCACTGAGCCATCTCTCCAGCCCCTCAAAGCATTTTCTATTTCAATAATATTCTGTATTCCTGAAACAGGGTTCAAGGAAGTATGTTAACAATGTAATAAATTACGAAAGATCACAACTCAGTTTTCAATGATTCTTTTGGCAAATTTTCCAATTTTCAAATTTAAAACTTTTCTGTATTTAAAACAGTGAAACTTGCCTCAATTCATTAAAATAAATATTTTATGTCATTACAAATCAAACTACATAAGAGGAAAAAAAAGTATAAAAAAATTTGAGCTGGGCATGGTGGCGCATGCCTTTAATCCCAGCACTCGGGAGGCAGAGGCAGGCAGATCTCTGTGAATTCAAGGCCAGCCTGGTCTACATAGTGAGTTCCAGGACAGCTGGGGCTACAGGGAGACCCTGTCTCAAAAAGACCAAAAAAAAAAAAATTGGGGAGAAAAATTAAATTTCATAGGCCAATAATATGAACCATAAAAATTACATATTACTTTGTTTTTCTTTCTAATTTCAGCAGGAACATGGCAGAGTGGTAATTTTAACAGCACACATAAACATTATTTTAACATTACCTGATGCTTTGTCTCCACATACCACACAGAGATCAAAAACCTTATTTGGTCCCTGGTCTGGAGAAGAACTTTCTGTTAAGAGCTTTTAAAAGAAGAAAAATATTACTCAGCAATAGTTTCATGTTATTAAAAATAAAAGAATATCAGTCATACTTTTTACTTTGTCATAAATTTTTCTCTTTTCTTTTTCCTTTTTTATTTTTTGCTTTTTTGTGACAGGGTTTCCCTGTGGCCTGGAAATGGCTGTGTAGACAAGGCTGACCTTGACCTCACAAAGATCCATCTGTCTCTGCCTCCTGGGTACTAGGATTAAAGGAATGCAACACTTCAGCCTGGCTATAAATTATTCTTAAACTAAGGGCTCTAATTCTATTACTACAAATATATCAGTTAAGAGAGCTTATCTATCTCTCTCTATCTCTCTCTATCTATCTATCTATCATCTATCTATCTATCTATCTATCTATCTATCTATCTATCTATCTATCTATATCTATCTACGATAATGCTCTTCTTAATTTTGGGGTTTGTTTTATTTTGTTTTGTTTTTTTGAGATAGGGTCTCACTATGAGCCCAATCTGGGCTTGAACATGTGATTGTTCTTCTCAGCTTCTCAAGTGTTTAGGTTACAAGTGTGTGTCACCAACCATGCCTGGTTCATTTTGAGAAGAGTAAATGAAAAAACAAAAACAACAACAACTGCCCCCCCCCCCCAAACCAAGAACAAACCAGTCATGATGGCTCACACCTATAATCCCAGTGCTTGGGAAGCTGGGACAAGAGTTCAAGGTCAGCCTAGGTTACACAGTGAGACACTGTCTCAAAAAGAAAAAAGTAAGCAACCAACAATTAGTGTTTTGTAAAATGACTATCACTTACTACATAATTCACATCATTTATTCCTATATCACAAATTTCAGTCTTTAGTAAGCACATTAAAAACAAAAAAAGAGGTGTAAGTAAACTGCAGCAGAGGAAGCAGTGAGTTCAAGGTCAGCATGGGCTGTAAACATAGCTAGACACTGTTACACAACCAAACGAAATGAAACAAAATGAAACTTTTGCTACTGGATTTCTTTAAAAGCATGGATGATCCCCCTGGCATGGAGGAGCATGCAGCCACTGGAGAGGCTAAGGCAGGAGGATCAGAAGTTCAAAGGCTGCTTGGGCTACACAGTGAATTCAAGGCTAGACTGGCCAATTTAGACCTTATGTCAAAATTAAAATTAAAAACATGGCTGGGCTGCTGGGCGTGGATGCACACTACTTTAGTTTCTGCACTCATGAACGCAGACTCTGAGGATGGGAGGAGCCAGTAAGATGATTCTGTGAGTAAAGGTGCTTGGTCTTCATTAAATCTCTTCTTGGTTCAACTAGCCACAGGGGGTCATACTGTGTGTAACTAAGAACCCCTAAAATATATTAATATGAGGATTAGGAGTAAAGGTCTAACAGCCCACAGGAGAGGGCAGTCACTAAGACATCATGCTGGCACTGTACCTAATTTTGCATGATTTTTTTCGTACTGATTACGAATATGAATAAAGTCTTAATGACAGGATGTATATCATGATTTCTTTAATTTTTTTGCACATGTAGGAGGAAAAGATGCTTCTATATAGTTCTTTACCTGGAGGTGTGGTGCAGACAAATCAGGAGTTGTAAAAAACAACTGGTTGACACCTGCTGCATCTGGAGTCGCGAGGAAAACTTTTCCTGGTGTGGAATCTTGTCTGGCCAGAATGACTTTGCTCGGAGTGGGACCATCGTGGTTTGTCAGGATGAACTGTTTGCCATGTGTATTATGATCAAGTGCTGTCACGATCTGGATTTTCTGTCCAGTCTGCGGCTCTGTAACAATCTAATAAAACCATGGCACATTCATAATCGATTCAACTCCATCTTTTTTGTTTGGTTTTTGAGACAGGTTTGGCTATATAGCCAGACTGGCCTTGAACTCATAACCCCCCTGCCTCAGCCTCCTGAGTGCTAGGACTACAGGCATGCGCTAATTACCAAACCTGGCTTTTAATTTTCTTTAATGAAACACTTTGCTTTATCTTTAGACAGAGCTAGAAAAGCTGCAATCGCATGTCTCTAAACTGGGAATTCTACTTCCAACAAAACAACGGCATGTGCAAATAAACAGAGGTGGAACAGAAAGATTATATGACCTCACTGCTTTGATTCCTTCCTTCCTCTTCTCTACTACTTTCCACTTAGACCAACATATACTTGCTGTTCTGGGTCCTTGGATATAAAAGTAAACAACACAACGTCTTTGTTCTCATGAAGCTTTCATTTTAGTGGGGAAAGACAGATAACTACTCAATATTGTAGGTATTCTAAGTGCCATGAGACAAAGTGTAAAGATGAAGAGGGAAGCTCTTTTTAATGAGGTGATTTTTTTTTTTTTCTTACACAGACCTATGTGAAAAAGCATCCCAGATACCAGAAACAGAACATACAAGAAGGCTCTGAGGCATTAGGGAGTATGTTTCACAGATATGAGTTACAAATAGCACAAGAGCCCTGTGAGTGAAAGACATAAACAGAGATTACAGCAGGAGACAATCTGAGCAACAACAGATTACACAGGAGTTCACAGGACCTAAAATGTCTACATTTCCTACGGTGTGAAAAAGAGGGCAGAGGAGTGGCAGGCTCACATTTTGGAAAAAAGGATCACGTTAGATTTAGTCTGAAGAAGGCTTGGAATGTTTGAGAGTAAAAGTAAGGGACAGGAGAGGAAAGGAACTACCACTGCCGCTGTCTAGATAGATGTAACTGGGTCTGCAGGCTCTGATACGGGCGAGGAGAGCTATGGCTCTTCTGGGGGTCAAAAACCATCAGACAGGAAATTTTTTTGGGATGGACTAGAATTAGTTGAACCATTCTCATCGCGCGCTGATCAACTGGAATGGAGTATGCGAAAATAAAATTCAAGGATGATTACAAAATATTGGCCTGTGCAATCAGGAAAACAGCTGTGACCTCTGTTGGAATGGGGGAGGGGTAGGCTAGGGGAGAGAAAATTCATGAATAAAGAGAACCGTCTCAGCATTGAAAATTATTAACTGACCAAATATGTCCCAGAGTCAACTACTGAGTAAATTTAATTCCTTGGCCCAATTTTCAAGTTGCCAATTTAAAAATATTATTTTTATTTTATGCATATGAATGCTTTGCATATAAGTGAACCCATGCATGCAATGCCCAAAGAGGCTAGAAGAAGGCATCAGATCCCCTGGAAATGGAGTCACAGATGGCTGTTGTCCTGTGGGTGCTGGGAACTGAATCCAGGTCCTCTGCAAGAGCAGCCAGTGCTCTTAATCGCTGAGTTATCTCTCCAGCCCCTTAATACCATTTTGAATTGTGGAAATTATACTGTGTCAAAACTTGTCAAGTAGCTTTGCAAAAGTTTGCTGCAATTTGGAATCAGGAGTTATGTTAAAATCCACTAGTCTATGCTACAATTTGAGTGGACACTTTATTCATAAATGATTTAACACCACCATGCATTGGTAATTTGGAAAAACAGGTTCACTGAGATATCTACACCTTTTCAATTCTGATGCATTTCATCAAAAAATAATTATCACATCCTGCATTGTGAGGAAAACTATACTGAATACTTGTCAAAGACCAGTAACATTTCAGTATCATTATGAAAACAGTTTTGAAGCTGGGTGTGGTGTCACATGCCTATAATCCTAGTACTTGGGAGGCTGAGACAGGAAGGTCTCCAGGCCAGCCATGCCTACAGGATGGAAGACAGAAGGAAGGAAGGAAGGAAGGAAGGAAGGAAGGAAGGAAGGAAGGAAGGAAGGAAGGAAGGAAGGAAGGGAGGGAGGGAGGGAAGGACGGAGGAAGGATGGAAGGAAGGAAGGAGGGAAGGATGGACGGAAGGAAGGATGGACAGGAGGAAGGATGGAAGGATGGGAGGACGGACGGACAGATGGAAGGAAGGAAGGACGGATGGGAGGAAGGAAGGATGGAAGGATGAACAGAAGGACAGAAGGACGGAAGGAAGGATAGATGGACGGAAAGAAGGAAGGATGGATGGAAGGGTGGAAGGAAGGATGGAAGGGCGGAAGGAAGGATGGAAGGATGGAAGGAAGGAAGGAAGGAAAGGAAGGAAGGAAGGGATCATATCATAGGGTATCCTGTTTTTTTTAACATGAACATGGATGCCTCAAAACAAAACAAAATTTGTCAAGGAATTCACAATCATTGTAGCATTTGCAGAACAGACACAGCACTGATTCATTATAATATGAATACAGCTACAGTTTGGAGAACCCAGTGTGGGTTAGGGTTAGATGTGAAGAAATAAGTAACTCATCTTAGTAAGTCAGAAATATTTTTTACTTATTTTCTACTAGTTATTATTTTGTGCACTATTCTTTCCAACTAGGCTGGCCTTGAACTTGAGATCCTCCTGCCTCTACTCTCCTGAGTCTTGGGATTACAGGTATTTGCCACCATCCTGACAATTTTTTATTGTTTTGTTTTTAAAATAGGTACTATAGCCTGAGAAAATTTTAGCTTAATTCTTATTTTATTATTACTATTAGCACTACTAAGATTTATTTATGAGACGGTTGAATCTTATCAACCAGTATTACATCATATTGTACTATAGTTACAGTATAACTTAATTGAACTGTGGGGTATTTGTTTTGTGTTTTTAACAAAAATCTACCTTTGTCTCTATCTAGTATTATCATTATTATTACTATATGTGTGCACATGACATGGTGGGGGATGTGCATGTGCCACAACACACATGTGGAAGTTAGAGGACAACTTTGTAGAGTTGGTTTTTTCATTCTACCTTTACAGGAGTTCTGGGGTTTGAACTCAGGTCTCCATGTTTGTGTAGCAAGCACCTTTACCTGCTGAGCAATCGCACTGGCCTGATTCAAGTTACTATTTAGGAGAAGTGCTGCCATAATTAGCCAAAGTGTAGTTATTACTAGACTTTAAGCCAATCACCCTGTATCATCTCACACGCTTATATTGACTTTTTTAAAAAGTGTCTTTTACATGAATTTATTTACTTTGTGTGTGTGCTCACATGTCACAGAATGCATGTAGGGTAAGAGGGCAATCTTTGGGAGCTGGTTCTCTCCTTCTATCATATGGATTCTGGGGATCAAACTCAGATTGTCAATTTTGGTGGCAAGTGCCTCTACCTGCTGAGCCATCTCCCTGACCCTGAGACTGGTTTTTATTGGGTATTGTTTTATAGCAGGGCCCATCACTCTGTCCTATAGGGAGGACACAGGCAGTGAAGGAAGGACAAGGCAAGGTCATTAAGAAGCGACAGACTATGTGTTTTCTGAAGCTTGCTTCTGAGGCCTAACATGCACCAACATTAAAAAAAAAAAAAAATAGCCAGGCGTGGTGGCACACGCCTTTAATACCAATACTTGGGAGGCAGAGACAGGCCGATCTCTGTGAGTTCAAGGCCAGCTGGGGCTACAGGGAGACCCTGTCTCAAAAAGACTAGAAAAAACAAAAACAAAAACAAAAAAATGTCAGATGTGGCTGAAATAGTTCAGCTGGAAAGTTAAGACTGAAGATCCAAAAATTAACAATATCTTTGAGAGTAATAAGTCAAAAACTGTGAATAAAAATCCAAAAGATAAAAACCCATCATAGTATACTTTTTAAATGTATTTTTATTTATTTACTTTTATTTTATTTTTTTTAATGTGTATGTGTGTATTACCTGCATGTAGGTAAGTGCACCCATGTTGTACAATGCCTGAGGAGGACAGAAGAGGCTGTCAGATCCCCTGGAACTGGAGTTACGGACAGTTGTTAGTGGCCATGTGGGTGCTGGGATTCAAACCCGGGTCTTTTGCAAGAACAGCCAGTGTTCTTAGCTGCTGAGCCAACTCTCCAGCCCCCATATCATACTTTTAGTAAAAACAGGGCACAGTCATTTAAGACTGGCCTTAGATTTCATAACCTCTAAGTAACTTTCCCTGGTGTGGTCCCACCTACTCCACAGCGCTCCATTAGCTATTTATTAAAAAAAAAAAAAAATGTGTATGCATGCCACATAGCTCCATACACAAAAGTACTTACCTATTCCTTTGCAATAATTTGACTATCTCCTACCAGACAGAAATGCTATCTGAAAGTTGGGGTATCTACCACCTCTATATTCCCAAAACATTTAGAGTAACAAATAAAAGTCTGAGGACTGGAGAGATGGCTCAAGGGTTAAGAGCACTTACTGTTCTTGCCGAGGACATGGGCTCAATTCCCAACACCCACACGGCAGCTTACAACTGTCTGTACCTCCAGTTCCAAGGGTTCCAATGCCTTCTTACCTCTGCAGGAACTGCATGCACATGGTGTACATACATATGTGAAGGCAAAACACTTGGTCACATAAAATAATTAAAAACTAAATAAACATACTAAAAATAGTGGAATAAAAGTTTGGTAGGTCAGCAAATGAATTGTAAACTAGACATACCTCACCCATCTGTTGTTCAATAATCTGATGTGCAATTTCTTCTATGGTGGCCATGATCTAATTATCAAAATGTCCTGCCAAAGATTAGAAAAAAAGCCTTTTAAAATTATACACATAAAACATATTTACTGAAGAATCTGTAAGTGAAATGATATGCTACATAAGATTAACTTCAAAATAATCCAGTTAGGGTGATACGGAGACGTTACAGTCTCAGAAGCAAACTGTATTGTTATCTTTTTTTTTTTTTTGTCTTAGCCTTTAATGGCTGTGCCAGCTCACCAGCCCCAAATTGTATTCTTATATACATCCTTCAAAGCGTAGGCCTACCATACTAGGTAGGTATCTTGAAATGTAACTGTGATGTTTTTGCTACCCTGCGATGCTTTTATTGCTCTGTGCGATGTTTTCACTCCCTTGAGATGTTTTATCTTGAAGCTCTGTGATGGTCTCTACTCACCATGCCCAACTGCTGATAAATATATGAAACTAAGAAAATGGAAAGTTCATCACATGGTTTAATTAGGCACCTGGTCCAATTAGTGTAAGGAAAGTGGAGATCAAATGTGGCAGATACCTAAATTTTTGCTGGTGATATCTGTTTTTGTAGACTGCAATGATTGTTTGACCCATTTCTAGCCCAATTCATCTGGCCTAGCTATAGGTCAAAAGGTGGCAGATGTCCTGAGCCATGCCTGGGATATCTACTTTGTAAGTGATGATGACCAGGTAGACTCAGGAAGGAATTTTCCTAAGATAACACGACCCATCATGAAATGAGACATAGGGCCCTGGTGCCAGCCATAATATGGTGACATAAAAAAAAAAGTTCTATATAAAGCCAGGCAAGGTGGCGCATGCCTTTGAGCCCAGCACTTGGGAGGCAGAGGCAGGCAGATCTCTGTGAGTTTGAGGCTAGCCTGGTCAGCATAGCAAGTTCCAGGCCAACTGAGGCTACAGGGAGACCCAGTCTCAAAAAGACCAAAAAAATAAAAAATAAAAAATAAAGTCCTATATAACCCATCTGTACTTCTGTCCAGGGCCCAGAAAATCTTAGTAACTCTGGTTGCTAATTCTGGGACCATATGCATGTGAGAACAAACAAGCTTTCCAACTTTCTCCTGGGTAAATGCTTGACCTTTTAGCAGAATTTTGCCGTAACAAGGACGATTGGGCTTAAGAGAGAATAAAGAAAACTGTACTAGCAATCTTGAACACATGTTGAACACGTGTCAGTTACTGAAGTTACATGCTAGGGGTTTATGAAACTCTTTGTATTGCTTTTGTATACTAAAACTTATCTCTTTAAAAACTACTTAATTTGTGTGGGATAAAAAATTCATAAACTGAGGCTAGAGTGATAGCTCAGCAGTTAAGAACACTTAACAGAGAATGTGGGTTTGGTTCCCAGCATCCACGTGGTAGCCCACAACTGTCTGTAATTCCAATTCCAGGGAATCTGACATCCTCTTCTGGCCTCCATGGGCACTGTACACATGTGATACACATACATACATTTAGGCAGTCATACATATAAAATAAAATAAAAATCTTAAAAAAGAAGCCATAGGCTATTAAATGAAAATCCCAGGGTAGGGAGTAGGCTACCTCCCATATCAGGGAGGCCTCTGAGGTTCCCATACTATACAAGCAATTGCCACAACATTCTCTGGTTGCTGGACACTGAGAAATCAATCTGGAACTAGGCTGGAAGCTTTGGTTCCCTGCTGGCAAGCCTTCAAAATGCTAGAAGGTGCTATACAGGCTACTGGGCGTGTGGGCGGGGGGAGGGATTTATTTTCAAGACTGCATGCAACATTACCAACTTCCTAGCCAAGATGTACAATGGTAAGCCTGTTATGGAGGTAACCAATGGCTATCTGATTGAATCTGAAAATCCTGTTCCACAGGAGGGAATTCATGTCTGGTGTTGTAAACACAGTACAATGACCATGCTTGGAGGGATGAGGCTATAATAATACACATATATCTCCAGGACATTGTTAATGTTCTAGCTCTCTGAACAAAGCTATTTACTTTTAACATACCACTATGAATTCTCTTTCTATACCATAATACTCCTATCTTTGTGTAAAAACCCCGTTGAGCTGGGGATGCAGCTCAATAGTAGGATGCTTGCCTAGCATGCCAGAAGAGGCTCAGGGCTCAATTTATAGAAACACACAAGCAGCATACATACAAAACAGCAACTACTCTACTTTTGAGGCTCAGTTTCTAATGACTATTATTGTCATTTAGTAACTTCTGTTCCAGTATCATAGTTCACTGAGTTTTACACTGAATATTGTCCCTTTTCGACCAGCAACAAGAATGACTAGCATCCCAGAGGACAGCCAAACTATAACCATCTAGTCTCTAAGTTTCTTGACCTCAAAGTCCAATATGGTTCATCTAATAACTACTTCAATATTTATTTATTTTAGTTTTTACTTATTTGGTCTGAGACAGGGTCTCTCTGGAGCCCTCAGCTGTCCTGAGACTATGTAGACCAGGCTAGCCTTGATTTCACAGAAATCCATCTACCTCTGCCTCCCGAGTGCTGAGATTAAAGGTATGCACCACCCTGCCTGGCATCGATATGTATGTATTTTTAAAGATTTACTTATTTGTGTGTGGGTATGAGTGCCTGTATGTGGAGGTCAGAAGGCGGCATGAGAAATCTCCTTTATCACTCACTACCTATTCCTTTGAGGCAGGGTCTCTCTCTGAAGCTGGGGCTCACATGGTCTTAGCTAAGCTGGAAGTCAGCAAGCCACAGATGTTCCCATTTCCATTCTGCCCCCCTTCCAGAGCTGGGGTTACTAGCATGTGAGGGACACCCAGTTTGTTATGTGGGGTGCTGGGATCTGAATGCCAGTTCTTATTGTTATATAGCAAGTACCCCTTGCTAACATGCCTAACTACTGAGCCATCTTTCCAGCCTGAACTTTGCTATTTTGTAATAGCTCAAATACTGATTTAATATTACCTCTCAATATTCACCTCAGCCTTCCCTTAACCCCAGGGTTTGAGCTGTCAGTTGTTAAAACTTATGTTCTTGCTGTACTATTCTGAATTCTTTCAGTTTAGCCTGTTGCTTCATGCTTCCACATCTTTGACAATGACTTTTCTCTACATTTTAAATGTCAGTCACCAGATCAATATATGCTTTACAAGACTACACAGATAATGAGACAAAACAACATTTTTCTCCTTTTAATTTTTATTTTATGTATGTTTTGCCTGCATGTACGTAAATGCACCACTTGCATGCAATGTCCAAAGAGGACAGAAAAAGGTATCAGCTCACCTGGAACTGAAGTTACAGATGGTTGTCAGCCACCATGTGGGTTCTGGTACTTGAACTCTGGTCCTCTACAAGAATAGCCAGTGCTCTTAACCACTGAGCCATCTTTCCAGCCCCATCTTTCTCTTTTTTAATAACAGATTTTCATATGTATGACATATGTATATGAGTGCAGGCACGTGCCATGGCACACCTGTGGAGGTCAGTAGACAACAATTGGGAATGGGTTCTCTCCTTCCACTGTGGGTTCTGAGATTCTAACTCAGGTGGTGAGTTATGCATGGCAAGTATTTTTACTGAGAGCACCAGCCCAGTTTCTGGTTTTTTTTTTTTTTTTTTTTTTTTTGTTTTTTTTTTTTAAATCAAATGCATATATGGTGTGTGTGTGTGTGTGTGTGTGTGTACGTGTGTACACATGTGCCAGTCTGTGTTTCTCTAATTTTGTGCCATAATCATGTATTACCTTCACAATAGAGAATGTGCTTTGTGGTTTGGGGTTTTTTTTAGTTTTTGTTTTTGAGACAGTCCCACTGTGTAGCCCTGGCTGGCCTGGAACTCCCTATGTAGACCAGGCTGGTCCTGAACTCACAGAGATCCACCTACCTCTGCCTCCTGAGTGCTGGGATTACAGGTGTGTGCACCATCATGCCTGGCTTGTTTTGTTTTTGTAAAGATATTCTCAGGTAGCCCCAGCTGGCTTTGAACTTGCTATGTTGCTGAGGATGACAGTGAACTGATCCTCATGTCTCTACCTTCTGAGTACTAGGATTATAAGCACATGCTACAGATGGTTGATAGAAAGCTGAAACTATTAGACTTTCCTAAAAAGTAGGAAATCAAAAACTTTAACAATGCTTATATTCTCAGGCTGAGGCAGGCTAGAATTCGGAGTTCTAACTCTATTTTTAATACTTACTAAATTTATAGTTCTATAGTATCTGTTGGCTACTTAACCCTAGGATGTTCCTCAGAAATAACATAGATTCAGTATAATCTCATTGAAAGGTTAAAATTCAATGTAAGTAAAAATATACCAGTAGCTAACAGTGTTTTACAGGTAGTAAATATTCCATGTAAATTAGAATGAACAAAATACTCACTAAAAGACACACACAGAACACCACTAGAGGAAGATTTAGGAAAGTCTTACACAGGAGAAATGTAAGTCACTGGAGGATAAGTATTTTTGTTTGTTTGTTTTTAAGGATGTGTGGGGTTGTTGTTTTTTTGAGACAGGGTCTCACTATGTAGCCATGGCTGGCCTAGAACTCACTATGTAGATCAGGATGACCTCAGACTTGCAGAGACCTGCCTCCCTCTGCCTCCTGAGTGCTGGGATCAAAGACTTGTGCCACCAAGCCTGGCTGAAGGAAAAGGATTTTTACTAGCCTGGGGTAGAAAGCAAAAAAGCAAGCACGAGGATGGTACTGTTACAGTAGCATAGCCAATTAGTTTTGATCTCTCTTGCATAATTCCCTTGACCTCATCATTTTTTCCAGAGAAATTGGTTTAACAAAAAAACTCATTACATCTTCTTAAATTGTGGGTGTCTATCCCACAAGATCATGGAATTAAATGCAGAGGCTGCAACAAATTGAACAGTAAAAGGTTTCTGAACACATAATGATCAAATATTAATTCAAAACTCAAATGCCTAATGAATCCAAGGCGTTTCTGGTAGTGCAGACTTGCCCCATCTTGCATGGAGCCATGTCACTAATGACTTATTTTGAACATACAGCACATGCATTTTGCACTATGCATGTC